GCATTTTTTAATGAGATGGAGAAACAAATCACCAACTTTATATGGAAAGGGAAGAGGCCCTGGATAAGTAAAGCATTACTCAAGAAGAAGAACAAAGTGGAAGGCCTCACATTACCTGGTTTTAGAACCTATTATACTGCCACTGTAGTCAGGAAAGCCTGGTACTGGTACAACAACAGATACATAGAACAATGGAACAGAACTGAGGGTCTAAACTTAAATTCATCCACCTATGAGCAGCTGATATTTGACAAAGGCCCAAAGTCCATTAATTGGAGAAAAGACAGTCTCTTTAACAAATGGCGCTTGCATAACTGGATGTCCATCTGCCAAAAAATGAAACAAGACCCATACCTCACACCTTACACAAAAACTAACTCAAAATGGATCAAAGACTTAAATATAAAATCTAAAATGATAAAGATCATGAAGAAAAAAAAAGGAAACACTAGGAACCCTAATACATGGCATAAACAGAATATAAACCATAAGTAACAATGCACAAGCACCTGAAGAGAAACTAGATAACTGGGAGCTCCTAAAAATCAAACACTTATGCACATCAAAAGAGTTCACCAAAAGAGTAAAAAGACAACCTACAAACTGAGAAAAAAATTTTGGCTACAATAAATCCGAACAGCGTTTAATCTCTAAAATCTACAAGAAACTGCAAAACCTCAACAACAAAAAGACAAACAACCCAATTAAAAAATGCAGAAAGGTTATGAACGGGCATTTCAAAAAAGAAGACATTCAGGTGGCTAACAGACACATGAGGAAATGCTCACAATCATTAGCCATTAGAGAAATGCAAATCAAAACTGCAGTGAGATACCATCTCACCCCAACAAAGCTAGCATTAATTCAAAAAACACCAAATAATAAATGTTGAAGAGGTTGTGGAGAGACTGGAACACTTATACACTGTTGATGGGAATGTAAAATGGTACGATCACTTTGGAAATCAATTTGGCGCTTCCTTAAAAAGCTGGAAATAGAAGTACCATACGATCCAGCTATCCCGCTGCTTGGAATATATCCTAGAGAAACAAGAGCCGTCACACGAATAGATATATGCACACCATGTTCACTGCAGCACTGTTCAAGACAGCAAAAAGATGGAAACAATCGAGGTGCCCATCAATGGATCAATGGATAAACAAATTATGGTATATTCACACAATGGAATACTACGCAACGATAAAGAACAGTGATGAAGCCGTGAAACACCTTATAACATGGAGGAATCTGGAAGGCATTATGCTGAGTGAATTAGTCGCAAAAGGACAAATATTGTTATGAGACCACTATTATAAGAATACAAGAAAAGGTATAAACACAGAAGAAAACATTCTTTGATGGTTACGAGGGTGGGAGGGAGAGAGGGGGTATTCACTAACTAGATAGTAGACAAGAATTATCTTAGGTGAAGGAAGGACAACACACTCTACAGGGGAAGTCACCACAACTGGACTAAAGCAAAAGCTAAGAAGTTTCCTGAATACAACCGAACACTCTGAGGGACAGAGTCAGAGGGGTGGGGGTCTGAGGACCATGGTTTCAGGGGACATCTAGGACAACTGGCATAACAAAGTTTATTAATAAAAGGTTCTGCATCCCACTTTAGTGAGTGGCGCCTAGGTCTTAAAAGCTGGAGAGTGCATCAATTGGTCCCAACCTACCTGGAGCAAAGGAGAATGAAGAACACCAAAAATACAAGGAAAATATTAGCCCAAGAGACAGAAAGGGCCACATAAACCAGAGACTCCATCAGCCTGAGACCAGAAGAACTGTATGGTGCCCAGCTACCACCAATGACCCCCCTGATAGGGAACACAACAGAGAGTCCCTGATGGAGCAGGAGAAAGGTGGGGTGCAGAACTCAAATTCTAGTAAAAAGACCAGATTTAATGGTCTGACTGAGACTGGAGGGACCCTGGAATACATTGCCCCCAGACTCTGTGTTGGCCCAGAGCTGAAACAATTCCAGAGGCCAACTCTTCAGACAAAGATTAGACTGGACTATGGGACATAAAGTGATACTTGTGAGGGGTGTATTTCTTAGCTCAAGTAGATACATTAGACTGAATGGGCAGCTCCTGTCCAGAGGGGAGATGAGAAGGCAGAAAGGAATAGGAGCTGGTTGAATGGACACGGGAAATCCGTGGTGGAAAGGAGGAGTGTGCTGTCGCATTATAGGGAGAGCAACTAGGGTCACATAGCAATGTGTATATAAGTTTTTGTATGAGAAACGGACTTGAGTTGTAAACTTTCACTTAAAACACTATTAAAAAAAATTATCAACTGTGTATAATATCAAGCATAATAAATAAACCAAAAATATGAATGACAAATTGGAAAAATATTTGCAATATATATGATAATAAAAGCATCAATAGTCTTAAAAATATAAAAAGCTCCCATAAATAAGAAAAAAATAATCAAATAGAAAAATGGGCAAAGGACATGAAGAGACAAGTCAATATGTATCTATAGCTTTCTATCTGTTTAAATGACTAATGTGAAAAAATGCTTAACCTCAATGTAATCAAAGAATACAAATGTTGAATAACTTCATGAAAAACATTTTACCTGTTAACTTGGCAAAGACAAAAAAGTATGTTATCATCAGGAAAGCAGGCATTTGTTAGGTACAACCTTTCTGGAAGGGCAATTTGGTAACAGTGTTTAAAATGTACATTTTATGTTTAGGTGTCTATCCTCAATAAAGCATCACGGCTGTGCACAAAGATTCTGGTACAAGGATGTTCCCTGAAGCACTGTTTACTAAGGTGGCAAATTGGAAACTTAAATGTCCAGCAACAGAGAAGAAGTTATAGAGATTCCAGCTTGTGGTTCATGATAGACTATCATGCAGGCCTTATAAAATGCTGCCTCAGAATGGCAGCCCTTAACCAGGGTATGTATGAGGTTCACCCGTGGACTTGGCATTCAGAAATTCTGACTTAGTAGGTCTGATTCTGTGTCATCCTCCCAGCTGAGAGCTAGTGTTGCAGAAGATATTTAGTGAAATGGAAAACGCTCATGCTATATTGTGAAAATACCAAAAAAAAAAAAAAAAAAAAAAAAGGAAGAAAAACAGAATAATTACATTACTATTAAGAAGCAAAAATCATGGCCTTCCTTTTCCTGCATTATGGCAGACTAGATATCCTCAATGATCTGACTGAAGAAAGTCTAAAAGCTACATAATACATTAAAAGAAACAAATTTGCATATTCCTGAATTGAGAAGAGACTAGCCGGCTGTACATCAGCATCTTAATGGTGGTTATCTCCAGGGTGATGGAATTAGAAACTGTTTTTCTCTGTGATTTTCTCCCACCAAATTGCCCAATTAATATATATGATTTTTCTTATTTGAAAAATAAAATTTAAAAATATGCTCTAAGTTGCAAGCTCAATTAGAGAGAAAATGTCTGAAGATATAGTAAGATGAGTTCAAGAGTTGTAAACAATCCTTTATGTATTTGTTCCTGAAGGGTCTTTCACTTAGTTATTTTAAATTTCCTTTCTATGTTATGTTCCTACCAAGTCGCAACAAAGCTTACATGTGATTATGGAAGGAGATTCGTTTCTAGGAAATAAACCCTGACTGAAAGGCAGCCTCTGTGCCTTGCAGGGCTCGAACCCGTCAGGTAGCCTAGGCGAGGCCATCTGCAGCCTCTAACACCCCAGCTACGAAAACACAAAGTTCAAGTGTGTAATAAGCAGAAGACCAAGCAGAGGGAAAACAATGTACCTCTCCACTTCTCATGGATGGGTCCACAGTGGCGGCTGCCTCCTCAAGTAGACTACTAGTGCCTGAAGACCCACTGGCACTGAGTTTCCCTAGTGATGCTGCCTTCAGCAGCTCATCCATTTTCTTCCTGGTTTCCTCCTTTGTTATAGCCAGCTCTCTCTTGTGGATCTCAACATGATGCCAATGCTGCCATTCTGCAAAGCAGTGTTGGAGAACTTGTTTCCGGTTATGTTCGGTGGCCAGTTGTTGTTTTCTAAGCAACAAAACACTTGCATTAAAATAAAAAAGCCATTTGCAATTTGTTAATTGATAATATAAATGAAACAGAAGTCCAAAGGAATCCCAGAAATGCCCCATCTTAGTTCCAGCTTAACCTTTTATATCAAGCTAAATGGAATGGCTTTATAAATTCCCCATCACAAAGCTTCTCCTCATAGAAGGCTTTGACACCTTAAGATATTACTTCAGAAGACTGCTCTGTTCTATCATGTCACAAAGATATTAAATTTTTGATTACCATAAAATAGTTTCTGTCAGCTTTTGGAGAGGAAGGAGCAAAAAGAAGAGACTGATAAAAAACAAATTTTAAAAGGTGAATGCATGAATACAACCCAACACTTTCAGGGACAGAGTAGCAGGGGCAGGGGCCTGGGGACCATGCTTTCGGGGGACATCTAGGTCAACTGGCATAACAAAGTTTATTACAAAAAGGTTCTGCATCCTACTTTGATGAATGGCTTCTGGGATCTTAAAAGCTTGCCAAGTGGCCATCTAAGATGCATCAATTGTTCCCAACCCACCTGGAGTCAAGGAGAATGAAGAACACCAAAGACACGAGGAAAATATTAGTCCAAGAGACAGAAAGGGCCACATAAACGAGAGACTGCATCGGCCTGAGACCAGAAGAACTAGATGGTGCCCGGCTACCACCAATGACTGCCCTGACAGGGAATACAACAGACAGTCCCTGATGCAGCAGGAGAAAAGTATGGTGCAGAACTCAAATTCCAGTAAAAAGACCAGACTTAATGGTCTGACTGAGACTGGAGGAACCCCAGAAAGCATGGCCCCTGGACTCTCTGTCAACCCAGAACTAAAACCATTCTCGAGGCCAACTCTTAAGAGAAAGATTAGACTGGACTATGGGACATAAAATGATACTCGTGAAGAGTGTATTTCTTAGCTCAAGTAGATACATGAGACTAAATGAGCAGCTCCTGTCCGGAGGTGAGATTAGAAGAGAGGGTCAGGAGCTGGTTGAATGGACACGGGAAATGAGAGGTGGAAAGGAGGAGGGTGCTATCACAGTATAGGGAGAGTAATTAAGGTCACATAACAATGTATGTATGAATTTTTGCATGAGAGACTAACTTGAACTGTAAACTTTCACTTAAAGTACAACAATAAGATAAAAAAAAGGTGAATGCATGGAGGAGAGAGACATTCAACTATGCTTGGAAATCTAAGAAACTTTTGTGAGGTTTGTGAGAAAGCAGAAGAAGCGAAACTATACCACTTAACAAGTGAACTGCCAATAACTAACTAACTAACTATAAAACTTATAGGAAGTCAGAGTGAAACTATGAGGGTGGACCTTGTGAAAGAAGGACTTGGTCAGGGATGGAATCTTGAAAGAGAAGGGCTCACTACCTTGTGAAGATACTTGCTAAAGCTAGAAACGTGTGAAGGGGAAAGACAAGCCACTTGCTTTCATGGAACTCATAGTCTGTTGGAGGTTTAATTCAGTCTCTTCCCAAGCAAGAGTTCTCTTTGACTCCTAGAAGGTTTATGAACGTTGGGGGACATGACTGAGTGGAGCTGGGAAGGGAGTCACTGCCAACCACATTCCCTTCCCCAGTAGAAATCTTTTAGGTGATATATTGGTGGCAGCCAGTCCAGAATTCAAGCACAGAGGTCTCTGAGATCTAGAAGTGGGTTACTGTCCCTGAAGCCATGAGCTGTAGAGCCTGAAATTAATTATACAGCATGAGAGATCCGTTTTGAGGTTTAAAATCTAATATTGTTTAGATGCCTACTTGGCTTAATCTTACAAAGTCTAACTTGAATATGTTCTCTCTAACACTGTTTGCATATCCATTTCTGTTAAACATATATAATGCTTAACTATCCTCATGGACTCTTGAAGTCATATCAAGAACATCATATCGTTCTTAAGTCAATGAGTCAGAAGAACATTTTTATGGTTCTTAAATGCTTAAGCGGCTTTGAAACCTTTTTCACTGCCACCTTCAGTAAGAAAAAATTGTATACTGTGATTCAATATACAAGTTTGTGTGTGTGTGTGTGTGTGTGTGTATGAAAGAGTATAACTGAAATAAAAGCTCCACCAAACAATATTTATACTTATTACAAGAGATGCATTATGATAATTTCTGTTCTAGTCCAATCTATTTCTTTTAAAAAAGGGTTAAAACTCTTAGTTTGAAAAAAAGACTGCTCAAGAGTCATAGAATTTAACCTATCTCAGAGGAGTTAGATGAAACAGTTTGTGAGAGTCAAGTCAACCGAGATAACGAATTTCAGGATGAGCACTGATAGCAAGCATGCCAACAACATATTTCATTACATTTAACTGATTCCTTCTAATGCACTTACCATAGGTGTTCAATAAATACTTGGTGACAATATAGGAGGTAATAAACAAATCTGTCTTGGAAGAAGTACAGCCAGAATACTCCTTAGAAGCGAAGATGGTGAGACTATGTCTCAGGACTTTGGACATGTTATTTAGGAGGGGCCAATCCCTGGAGAAGAACATCATGCTTGGTAAAGCAGAGGGTAAGTGAAAAAGAGGAAGACCCTCAACGAGATGGACTGACACAGTGGCTGCAACAACAGGCTCAAACATAACCATTGTGAGGATGACACAGGACTGGGCAGTGTTTCATTCTGTTGTACGTAGGGTCACTATCAGTCAGAACCGACTCAACTGCACCTAACAACAACAACAACATTTATATATAATATTTTACCTTAATGGAAATAAGTATCTGAGACTGGATAATCTTGAAATAAAAATTTTAGGAGAAATAAGAATAATAAATCAGGTAGCAATGCAGGTAAGAACGAAACTCCAAAAAAAAAAAAAATTGTATAAATAGTGAAACAAACAAAAGCCTACAACATTTACAGAAGTGAGTGAAAATCATAAATTTCCACAGGATAGAAGATGTTCGTTGCTCTGTCTGATTAATGTGAAATTCGATTTACATCAATCTGCTCAGGAAGGGGTGTGTGTGTGTGAAATCTACCTGACGTGTTAATTTCATGTTTTTACAGCATAAACAGCCAAAAGCAGTACTGGGGTTTTGAGTGACAGGGAGAAGGCTATTTGGACACTAGGAAAAGGCAAAGAGAAAAACATTTCTGTAAATATAACAAAAAGACTAAACAGCAAGAAAATGAGTAAAAAACACATGCTGACTTATGCTTGGAGCTCAGTCTGTAATGGTTATTAGGGGATTTGAAAATCGATTTAAGATATCTGTGTTTGTGGACTGAGGTGGAAGGGCGGAAACACAGCAGCTAGGGATCCAGAGACAGGCTGGCTCCCACTGCTGCTCTCCGGTAGCTCCCTTCAGCAGAAGGACAATATTCTAGGTAAGCTTCTTTCTATATTTTATAAAAGATGATTCTAAAAACAAACATTTCTGAAAGTAAAACAAAATCACTTAAATTTCTTAAAAGTAGATCAGTCAGATGTGATTTGCTTGAGTATGCTCACTTTCTAAAGAAATGGTTTCAGATGATAAAAAAAATTAAGACGGAGTTCTCTTAAGGAAAACATCCTGCCCCAATGTGCTTCCAATCTGAAATCGGGGAATTTCTGGCAAGAGTATATAAACTGATCAACATAATTATATAACTGCATAAAGACAAAAGAATATAAAATAAAGAAGGTTTAACTGTGAACAGCTCTGTGCAGCATCAACACCTCAAATGACACTTAGTACCTGACACATGTTCTAGGATCTAGAAACCAGAAGAACACAAACTAGATATGGGACACTGGGCAAGCCACTGAATTCTAAGCCTCAGATGCCTCCTCAAAAATGGTGTCCATAAGCCCTACACTGCCTACCCTACAGGAATTTTTTTTGAGAATCTAAATTTTTAAAAAAATCTGAAAATATGGAACCAAGTTCACATGAAGGTAATAACACTAACTTAGGACAAAGATTACTAGATATCTAAAAAGTGTCCTGAATTTTTTAAAAGGAAATAGGAAATGATAAATAAATAACCACATACTAGTGATCTGACTAAGTGCTGAAGTCCAATGCAGAACACAGCACTGACACTCACAGCTGCACTGGGGACGAGCAGGTTCACCAGGAACAGGGATGAATAAGCTAATGCATTCAATGACGCACCAGGAAGTCTCCACGGGAAAAACAGAAGAGAAACAATTCTGTTCTAAAGAGTTTTAATTTCAGCCAGGCAATGCAAGTCTGGTCCTCCTGCCTCTTATATCAGGAGCTGTACCAGCTGCAGGTGCCACAGACATATGCCTTCTGGCCTGTTACCTGGATATCCAGGTGAGCAGGAAGGGGTGAGCAAATATAATCAGATTAACAGAGGCACTCCGTAACTGCTTGACAGAAAGAACCTGAAATCAGGAGTGCTGGTAATGAGGAATACCTGACAGTATATTTTCAGCTCAGCTCCACTTCTCCTCCCCACTTCCATGCTAGCCCGGCAACTTCACCCAGACTCCTCCCACACAAGCCTATCTATGTGCTGATCTACAAGTTTTTCCCCAAACTGAAAAATGCCCTCCTATACTTAGCCACATTCTGTCTCCTTCAGTAGGTAGGGCCCATGGCTTTCTATGTTACAAATGCTCCTCAGGGGATTATAATGCATGATAGCCAAGTCTGTGTCACTCCTGAGCACTTATCGTAGGGCCTTCTGTTGCAATTGTTTTAAGAATTTGAGATTCTTTTTTAACTTCTTCATTTAGATTGTAAACTCATGGAAGACAAGAATAATTTTTAATGCTTTTTTTTTTTTTTTCCAGTTCTCCTCAAAGATTACAGCCTAGGAAACCCTATGGGGGCAGTTTTACTCTGTCATATAGGGTCGCTGTGAGTCAGAATCGACTTGATGGCACACAACAACAACAACCCAGTACTTGGGAGAGAGTCTAGTACATAGCAAGCATCAGCAAACCGGGTTGACTGAATGATATTCCATCAAACAGGATGAATAAACGCATGACTGAGTGAATAAATGCATGACTGAGTGAATAAATGAATAACACAACTTGAGGGATGCCGAATGGCCAGTTTTCTTTGTTTTTCTTGTGCTTTAGATGAAGGTTACAGAGCAAACGAGCTTCTCATTGAACAGTTGGTTCGCATATTATTTTGTGACACTGGTTACCAACCCCACGACATGTCAACATTCTCCTCTCTCAACCTTGGGTTCCCTATTACCAGCTTTCCTGTCCCCTCCTGCCGTCTCGTCCTTGCCCCTGGGCTGGTGTGCCCCATTAGTCTCATTTTGTTTTATGGGCCTGTCTGATCTTTGGCTGAACCTCAGGAGTGCCTTCATTACTGAGCTAAAAGGGTGTCTGGGAGCCATACTCTTGGGGC